ACACTTTGTAATGCATCTCGTTAACTTTTGCTGAACTCAATCTTGATTCAATTAATAGTCCTACACGCAGTTGTTCCACAAACTTGCCTTATGCCTCTATTGTGAGTTTTAAGGTGGAGTGGCCTCTGAAGTTGAAGTTGCTTTTTGAAAAAAACCTTTTAAGTGTTTCTTGTTGTGTTTGCAGGTCTAAAATTCATGTACATATGTTTGTGTAGCTGGACAGAGTAATGAGGAAGCATTTCCAACTTTGGAATTTGTACATACACGAGCTTCCTCGCCATATTTCTGTTATACTAGCAGAGCAGCAAGTCTAGTTGAATGTACAAACTTTTTACTTGTCGAAAAAATTTCTTTAATTTGCACCGATCCTAATTTCCCTTGTTTATGATGATGGGTAGAACTGAATACAAGCTAGCCGTCTTGCTATATGCCCTAATCAGTGTAATGTTATCGGTAGTTGTAAATGCTAGAAATAAATTTTGGTTGTCCACTATTTGCTTCTTGTGCTTGCCTTCCCATGCTTGGGTGATAGCGAAAGCTAAATCGTCTTATTTGTAAGAGAAAAAGTAACCTATAGTTTAATCAGCATTTTTGAGTATCTGGTTTGGTGTCCTCCAGACTCCACTTGTGGGATTATACTGGGTTGTTGTTGTTGTTGGTTTGGTGTTCTCAATTGTTGAGCCAGGGAGGATGGAGACTAGGGATATTCCGTCTTTTTAATGTGTTACCGATTGCTGCCGCTAGCAATCTGAAATTACTCTTCTACGAGCTGTCAAGCGAATGTGTTAACCTGAAGACTTAATGCAAGGTTCTCTTATACTCATGTACTTAGAAAATGTAATTAAACGAAGCTGCAAATTTAGGCTATTCTCATTGATAAAAAACAAGAGAAGCTAACAAAGAGCAGATCCACCGATCTTTTAAGTACAAGGTGATCGGTTCGTTTTGTTTAGTTTGCTGGAAGAATAGGTTTTGAGATGCAGTTAGCTTGTACAAAAACTGGACCAACTCTTCGAAACAGAAAATGCGCTTTTCCAGAACTATCTTGTTATTATTTCGTTTGTCGTAGTTCATTGTTATAACTGCTGTGATTTATTGTATTGAGTCGAGGGTCTTTCGGAAACAACATCTCTATCTTCACAAGGTAGGGGTAAGGACTGCATAGAAACTATCCTTTCCAGATTCCACTTGTGTGAATATATTGGCTATATTATTGTTGTATCTTCTTAGCTTCTGATGATAATCCATTCAACCAAATTTGGTCAATCCAAAAATCGAAGCGTTCTCCGAAAAGATTTTTCAAACTGAGAAAAATAAATAAATACGGAATGTAACTAAAACTGGAATGTTTATCGAAAAGATCTTTTAGAACATGTTTTCTGTAAAATGAATAATTATAAAATGTAACTCTTATCGTATGTTTGCGAGTACGGTCCTTTCATTTGAGTTGGCACATGAGACATGCGAAGGACTTCCCTTCCTCTTTTTATTACTATGAAACGAAGAATAAGACCAAGTAACTGTTAAAAAAACTGCTTGATCCTTCATTTCTTTATCATCAACCTGAACAAACTATGAACTGTGGCAGCATTTCAGGGCAATCATCACTGCTTTATCTCGAGGATATGGTACAGCTCCGTTCTTGGTTTGATAGGTGGATCACCAGAAATCATTTTAGATGGGAAAGCAAAACCAATCAAATACAGGGACCAGTAAGACTCATATGTATACAATCATGGCAGTTCTTCAATTGGATCATATGTTACAGACTTCTATACGATGAATGAGACTCAATACTGACGAGAATGTTTGCAGATGTTTTTCAAAGAGACTACTGTATTCGTCTCTACTTGAAAGCATGCTTCCCGAAACAACAACAACAAACCTAGTGTAATCTCACAAATGGGGCTTTCTGAAACGAAATACCAATATTTTTTTTCCCTTCCGTTGCGCTTAGATTAAATGTGCATTACCAATAGAATAATGCGATGTATGCTCCCTGACATGCAGATATAGTTGTCAGTGGATATGGAAATCAAGACTACTTTGATCTACCGATATTCCACTTTGATTATCATTTTAATTCTCATATCAAAGTATCAAAACATTGCAAGTTCATGATTTCTCATATCATGATTGAACAGTAACTTTTTTTCAATGGACATGTTTAGCAACCTTTAACCACAGCGATTGTGAAGTGCACGGAGGTCAAACAATTCAACCAACTCTATACTTGAATTTGTAAACCAAAATCGCGAACAGCATATCCCAGGCAGGTGCACTCAGAACCTTATTACAAATTATTACACGTCTGATAAGGCAACAAATAATACATTATACCCAAGTGATAATGCTTAGGTACATACTTCCATCAGCTTAATTTTCAGGTCTGATGATAGAGAGGACTGACTAAATAACATTCATCTAGATGACCCCATAAGTGACCATGCTACTAAATAAATATTGTTACACCAACTGAACAAATATAAAATGCCGAGCCAAGCACCTTCCCGTGTTTACTCATCCAATTCTACGATCCAAACGGCCATTTTAATGCGGACAAAAACATACAACTGATTCAACAAAAACTCTGCTTTGGAGCCAGGCGGATCCCTCCAAGAATTGGAAGACATTTACTAAAGAGACTTATCGAGTTTCATCCTCAAGGTTTCGGAAACCAGCAGTCAAATCATCATGAAGCTTCTTGAACTTGCCCACAAGAACATCCTCTCCTTCGGCCGGGTCCTCAAACTTTTGGGACCTGCAAAGAATGAATGTATAAACGGCAAGAGAAAAACAAGAGAGGGGGAGGGCGAACGGAAGGCGGAAGCACCAGACTAGTAACTTGGGAAAAATCTGCATTACCACTTAACAAAGTGCATATTCTTGAGAGATACTTACACCAAACGATAGAACAAATCCCCTAGACGGTGCTTAATGAGAGTGTAGGTAATCTTCTGGCCATCCATACCAGCTCCCCGTTCGACTGCCTGCGCAAAAGATGACAACCGCAAATGTCACAAGCAAATACTGCGGTAACTCTTATTTATTAATCAAGTAACTGTTCTCTCCCAGAAGTTTGAATCTTATTCATCTCCAAAATATCTTACTAAAGGCGATAAAATGAAACATGAGGATGAAAATAACAGCACAAAAGTACGAAAATAGAAAGGCATCATCTCTATAAATGTCTGAAAGGTACTCCAACACAAAACCTACATGCAGCCACAGCCACACTATTTTACCTGATTGGCTAAGCTATAGAAATGGATAATATTGCGCAACATCCAAACAGATTTGTAGAAAGGACAGAACTTGTCATACCTGTAACCAAAGACACAAGAATGTAAGATCATTAACAAGCTCAATTAACAAGCATCCCATGGTAGATTTTTTTTAACACTTACGGAGTAAATGCATTTTGTGCAAGATAGTCCTCCCTCAAAAGCTTTGCAGTTTCCAAAGTGATTTTATCTGTTTCAGCTAAAGCATCCTTCCCAACAAGCTGCAGAAGAAAAGAAGCAATAACACAATGAGCCAATGACAACTGTATCTACCTTCTGTAGACCACTAGAGTTTGAGGGGAAAAAAGAAAAAATGGCTGGACGGTAGCAGGGGAATTGAGAAAAAATGTTTTATTTGCCCTCACAGGCTAAAAGTTGTTTTAGCACACAGCAGCACCGACTGTTAATTGTGTAATGCAACCCAACTGAAAGGCTAGATCTAAAGAAATGACAACTCCCTAAAGTGACACCTGATACCAGGAGATGGTTGAAGTGAAATACCAACAACTGAGCCATCACGTATCTGAGAAACTGGAAATAGTCCTTGTCTCCAAGCAGAATTTCAGAATTAGCTTTTTTATCTTAGTGTAGCCAATTTCCCTTGAAAGCGAGTACAAACATAGACCTCTTGACGAA